TAAAATATATGAAAGTTTAATGTTTATCAGTACATTACAGAAAATAATGAACTTTATCACAATATGCTAATTTTTTGAGAAGGACCTGTAGATGTACATTGGTCGGGTTGGGTAATATTGGCAAAAAAAATCACCATTAATTGTGGTATTTAGCCAATAACGATTAATTTGACGATTAATCCCCTGGAGTCCCTGGACACACTTATGTCCTGGTCTCATGACAAATTTAGAGGGAAAAATTTGCTCTTCATATAAATCTGTTCCAAGTTGTGTCAGAATTACAGACTTCAGGCGATACATCAAATTTTAATTTGTGTTGATAGATAAATAAAATACATAACTTTTTTAAAATGTCCGTCATATTTGAAGCAGAGGAGCACCAGTCAGTCTGCCTGGTGGCATTAATCATATTAATCGTCAAGTGCCAAAAAATAATCGATTGTGTTTCTGACGATTAATCGCACACGATACGATTATGCCCAACCCTAATATACATCCAGTGATTTAGAGTTTCATCTGTCCGGCGGTTTGTGAAATATTTTGCTAACATGACACACACACACACTTGAGTAAAAAGATCAAGTGAAAGCCCATCAGAATCAGTCACCTGCAGCAGCTTCCCTGATGATGAGTACTGTTTGATACAGTGACCATAAGGACCGTTGCCCACATCTGTGATCCACACGCTGGGACTGTCTGATGCTGCGTCTCCTACAAACATCCCATGAGGCATCTCCAGACTGGTTGTGTTCCAAGACATGAGGAAATCTCCATCTGTGGAGAACACCAGCACCTTCGGCACATTATCGCCTAAACGAAGGAGGAGGTCAAAAGGTAAGTATATTTGTAAGAAAGAAGGGAAAAAAATCCATTTTTAAAGCAAACTTTTGTCTAGAAATAAGACCACTATACTCTGGATGAAGACCCTGCTGCAATGTAAGAAATCAGCCAGAACACAAGCAGTCTTTGTAAGGGTTTTAGGGGAGTAAAAAAATTATGAGATTAGATTTGAGACAATAATATTGAGGAAAACTCTTAGATGTTCAAACAAAAATTAAGAATTTGATAAAAAAATAACATTGAAAAAATCTTTTCAAATGCAAAGCTTACAATCTGCAATCAAAATCTTAAAGCAATACTGTAAAGTCTTTGTCTTGTTTTTATTTGAAATATATATTTTTGTTATCAGTTTCCTCTGTTTCATTCTCAGTGATCAGAGTTTTGCTCTCGCTCCCAGCTTTGCGCTCCTTTGTGCTCCGTCATTTTTTACTTGAAATCCTCACAGACCATGTATGGAGGGGGGCGGGTCTTCTGAGACGTCTTTACCTATTGGACAGAGATTTCTTGAGTGACAGATCAGTGGCCTGGAGTGAGGTTATTTACTTCTGGTGTCATTTTGTCTCGGAAATCTCTCCAGAAAATGCATAAATGCTGATCATTTTCACGAAATTACAAAGAGTACGTTTAAAAATAATTAACTGCATTTACATGTTAGTTTATCGCTCAGTTTCAATTTACTATTCTGTAACTGTGTATAAAGGTAATAGCATCTGATTGGAAAGTATTTTGCTAAAAATATAGTGTTGTGCTTTTAACATCAGTACTAACTTGTAATAACTATAAATTTCTTCAATTATATTTTTAAAAAATAAGGATGATGCAGGTGTGTGCTGTCTGTCTGTAAGCAACAGCAGGACACTGGCAGAATCAGGACACAACATTTAACTGCTAAATAAAGGACAATTCAGACAGGTGGCAACTCTTCTCCAAACTGAACTTAATCAATAAATACAATTATTTAACCAGACAAGTCCCGTTGAGATCGCAGATCTCTTTTTCAGGGGAGGCCTAGGCCTGAAGGCAACCTATAAAAACACTGATCAACTTATTTCTTGACTAATCTCATATTTACAGAGCTGACAGGCAGAGGACGTGTGTATTAGCAAACTGTTGCTAAAGATGCTGCTAGCTAGCTAGCCTACTTTCCAATCCGATGCTATTACCTTTATACACAGTTACAGAATAGTAAATTGAAACTGAGCGATAAACTAACATGTAAATGCAGTTAATTATTTTTAAACGTACTCTTTGTAATTTCGTGAAAATGATGAGTATTTATACATTTTCTGGAGAGATTTCCGAGACAAAATGACACCAGAAGTAAATAACCTCACTCCAGGTCACAGATCTGTCACTCAAGAAATCTCTGTCCAATAGGTAAAGACGTCTCAGAAGACCCGCCCCCCTCCATACATGGTCTGTGAGGATTTCAAGTAAAAAATGACGGAGCAAAAAGGAGCGCAAAGCTGGGAGAGAGAGCAAAACTCTGATCACTGAGAATGAAA